GGAGGTTTCTTCCTGTTCAAAGGGAGTTTTTCCTCTCCACTGTCGCTACAAGCATGCTTAGTGTGAGGGATTGCTGAAGAATCAATTGCTCTGTTCGAAATCCTGGGACGTGTCCTCAGAAGGCCAGATTAGAAGGACGATTACATCATAAGGCGGCGCCGAGGTCTGGCCGAATTCCGGTTGAATTCCAAGACTCCTCGCTGTGCGGCCCTAAAATGCGTCCTTCTTTTTGCCCGATTTGAAGGACGGGTCCGATGTATCCTCGCTATCCTTGGATATCCCAGGATTCATTGCGAGACCAAGCAAGCCGGCTGCTCCGTGATCAGAGTAAAGGTTACTTAGCACCTAACAGTGGTGAAAATTTGAACTTCAGTTTAATATAATCCAGTCAGTGAATAGTTCCGTCTGAGATTAATGAAAATAGTTGTTTTAATGGTTATAGAGTCAGATATGTGGCGGTAATGTTTGATTTATCTAAAGGTTTTAATCTGTTACTGTGTAAATGGGTTTGGCTGTAATTTAAGGACAGATTGGGGACTATAAACTAAAGACTATAAATAAAGAGTTAAATTTTTTTATTGCTGTTTTGCACAATATGCTCAACTAAGTATTTTTTGTTGTTGAATATTAGAGATTTGGGAGATATATTTTTCATACATATATTTTTGTTTAGATTTACTTATATCTTTCTACCCCTTTTATAGAATAGAAAATCCCTTTATTGTCCCACAATGGGCAAATTTACAGCAGCAGAAAGATTATTGAAAATGGTCACACAGATGAGGACCTTAGAAAAATGTATAAGAATAACATAATAGGGAAGAGTTAAAATATAAACAATAAAATCCTGTAAAGTGTTTTAACAATATAAAACTGGAGAATAAATAACCAATATGCAGCTATGGACATTTTTACAGTAATGGATATTTGAAAACAGCAGCAAACCTACCGGATTGTACATATTTTTATTTCTTTTTTTCTTTTCTTTTTTTTATCTTGTTTTTCATTGTGTGTGATACATGTACACTTGCACTTTAATGCTTATTTATCTTGATATACTGTATATATATTGCTTATTATTAATGCCCATTTTACTCCCTGTTTGCACCTTCTGTAACTTCTATGCCAACATGTGACGAGTGAATTTCTACGCTGTGAGATCAATAAAGCTCATCTAATCTAATCATCTAATGTGCAGAATGACAGCAGCAGGTTATTTAACTGACTAAGGTTTCTTTTTTTTTCTTTTTTTTTTTTTTTTACAGTGTCCTGTCTGGCAAGGTCGCAATAAGAATAATTGTCTTGATGCCAAAAGGAGCCCAACAGATTTTACTTTCACAAGTGTAGCGGTATGGCAATTGCCATACTGCTCCACTTGTTTCATGTATATAAATTGCTTTATTATAATTATGCAGGGAGTTTTACAGTTCATATGGACACTGCAATGTAAGTAGAGCAGAAAAACAGAAGAAGAAGAAGGAAAAAGAAAAAGAAGGAAAAAAAGGACAAAAGATGAAAGAAAGAGGAGATAGGAAGGATACAATGACAAAACATTTTCAGTCTGCTTCATCACCTGCAATGAGATGAAAAAAAAGAACAGCACAACCAAAAGACATGGTACGAGATATACAATAAAGCAAACACCTTGAAACTATCGCTAAAGTAATATTATTAAGTCTGACATGTACTCTGTGTTACCTGAAGATATGAATGTGGGGTTTCTGTTTGGAAGTGAATCTCTTAGTACCTGAAGCCTAGCACCTGTAGTTGATTGTGAGGGTGAACTTGTGCATGTAAAGTTTTAACCATAGAAAAAAATGCTCAATAGTGGTTGTGGAGAGCCGGAGAGGCACACCCCCCAGAGCACCGAGTCCAGCGCCGGGAGACCCAAAGCCCCAGGCGCCCAAGGGGACCCTAGAAGCGAAGGCACCAAGGCGGGGCCAGCCCCGGAAACCAGACGCCCACCTAGGGAGGAGGAGAGACAGCCACGAAGAAGCCCCCCAGCCAACGCCATGCCAACGCCCCGGGGAGCCGCGGGGACGAGTCCGCGGGCCCCGCCGGCAGCCGGCCACCCCGAAGTAGGGCCGGGCACCGAACACCAGCCCCCCCACGGCACCGACCGAAACGCCCCAGCCCCACAGAGCACCAAAACACGCCCCGCCCCCCGGCACCAAGCCCCGGCGACCGGCCGCAACACCCACCGCGACCGCACCACCCAGGAAAAACACTCAGGCGGCCCCGCCGGCGGCCGGGGCCCACGTGCATCCACCGCGAACCGTCCGCGAGCGCCGCGGGACCCCCCCAAAACGCCCCCCCGGCCAAAAGCGCAGCCCCACCCCACCAAGACCGATGCCAACAGCGCGCAACGAAACACACCGCGCACAGAATCAGCCCGAGAGCAGAAAAGCCGCCCGGCGCAAAACCGCAAGAAGAGCAGACCGCAGCCGGCGCGAACCCCCCCCCCCCCCCCCAGCAGCCCGAGGGGCAGCACAAAGCCAGAGCGGAGCGAACCACGCCGCTCCCCCACCGGACAAAGCCAAAGCAGCACAGCCACGTCCGCCGCCCCCCCCCGCCGCCCGCACCAGGCCCTGACACGTGGCCAGAGCAGCTCTGCCGCCCTGGCCCCCCAACACGCGCCGGCCAGAGCCACTCCAAGCCCCCACCCGCCCCGCAGCCCCACCCGCCGCGATCAGCGGGAACAGAGCAGCTCCGCCATGCCTCCAGGAGGAAAAACCCACCCGAATACCGAGCCAGCGCAGCCAGCCCGCCCACACCGGCCCCCCAACACCACCCCCGCCGGAGCCGCCCGGACCCCCACACACCAGCGGCGTGCCGCCAGCAGGAACCCCACCCAGCAGGCCCGCCCGCCCCCCGAGAAAACAGACATGCCCAACCCCCCCAAAAAAAAAAAAAAAAAGGAGCCCCCACAATGCGACACCGACCCGCCCGCAACCGCTCCCCCCCACCGAGGAAGGAAAAAAAAAGAAAAAGAAAGAAAGAAAAAAAACATAAATAAATAAATAAATAAAAAAAAATAAATAAATAGGTAAATAAATTAATTAATTAATAAATTAATAATTATAATTAAAATAAATATGCAAGAGGAGAAGTGCGAGCGGAAAAACCGGAGCCCAAAACAGGGCCCAAGACCCGCACCCCACCATGCCGCGCAGCTCCCCCCCCCCCGAATAATAATAATAATAAATAAAGAAAATAACAACGCGGACACACATTCACACATAACACTCACATCCAATAATACCAGGACCAAAAACCCGGTGACACCGGTGGTTGGTCCCAGGACTATCGGATGACCCCATAAGTGAACCTAAAATCCGGATGTGAGGGGAGGGGAGCGGCGACACCGCCCCACCAACCCATCTCTTTCCTGCTTCAAGCCCGGCCCACCCATCCCGCGCCGGCCACCCAACCAGAACCGCCCCCCCCCCCCCCCCCCCCCGAAAAAAAAAAACGCTTCAACCAGGCACTTCATGCCCCTCCATCCAACCTTCTTTGGGGAGAGCAGAGGTGACAGCCCTGCCACCGGCAGGCCACCTAGGCCCCGCAGCCAGCCCCAGCCAAAACCACGGACCAGGTGGCCTGCTCTTCCTCCAGGCCCCAGACTCAAGGCGGCAGCCGGAGAACAGGGGTGTGAGAAGACCCCGATCCTCACTGCGCCCGCTCGAATGTGGTGTTGTTGCATGTTGCTCTCAGATGCAATTAAAACTTGGAGTACCAAGAGGGGGTGTCCGGCACAGTCCACCCCCCCTCCAGGAGATAGACGGTGCCAGCACACACCCCCCTTCGACAACCCAGAACCCTCAATGTCTAGATGCGAGAGGGGATGGAGGAAGCCGACCGTGGTGAGGCTCATAAAATAAGCCCCCCCCCGGTGGCCCTGACCCCCACCCCCCGAAAATGCCCTACATAGATGTGTGTTGTGAAAATAATGTAGATGGAAGTGTCTAAAATGCAAAATAAAATTGGTGTGGGGGACGTCATCAGAAGGTGTGGCCCTCCAGTAACGACCCCCTCCCCAAAAACCTACATGTGTGGCAGAGGGAGGATTTCGGGGATGGGGAGCAAAGGACTGGGGTGCTTGCTGCACTCCCAGGGAGCCAGCTCCCCCGCTGACTCCAATAGGCACCCCCGTTCCCCGAGAGCCCCTCCAGAGAAGGGGGCCCCACCAGTTTCCCCACCATAGCCCGGGGGCACGGGACCGGCAGCAGGACCCACCAGCTAGCCGGGCACGGAGCCGACACCACCACCCTCCCCCCGTCCTGACTAAGGTTTCTATCATTACATTTGATTTTATTTGTTCCTGCTCCCGGTGGTTGGAACCTTTATTCCACTCTGGATTCTTGTGAGTGTAGTCTTTGTTCACTTTACAATAAAAAATAAATAAATAAACAAACAGTTTTAAAAACTTCGGTTTTCATTATTTTCTTGCTTTGTGTGTCAACTTTCACGGTTGCTAACCAACAGAGCATATGGCGGTAAAACCCACCGAAGGGTAGACCTGTTCGAATTCACAGCCAAAACTCTTCCGGTCTCCTTTTTTTCACGGACTTCGAAGGATCCAGTCTAAGTAGACCGCGTCCTTGGAGGATGCAGCCCAGGTTTTCGAACAGAGTCAATGAGTCGATGCAATCAGCTGTTTTTCCTTAGATAGAAAACTTTGAATCAATCTGACTGTGCCTTGAGATGACATGTGTTGTAAATTGGCACAATAGAAATAAACTGAACTGAAGAAGTAAAGAAAGAAACATATTTCAGCACAACAGCAAGTATAACTGAGTGTTTAGTAGAACTTCAGAAACAGAGTCCAATGTAGCTTAGCGATAGCGCACTCAGCTGCTCCCATGCTTCAGCTGATGAGCTGCAGCTGTGATGGGGAGAGGAAACCATGAAAGCAATGCTATGATGGCTATGTGGAAGACAACAATATTATAACAATTATCAGAACGTACAAATGAAATCAAGGTCGAAGAGAAAGTTGAGTATAAAAATAAGCAGAAAATAAAATAATTTTTTATTGAAAGGGAATGTTGCTTTGTTAAACTTTTACACAGACCATTCTATGCCATGTCAAATTGAAATGAACAGATAGCAATGATTACGAAGCCCAGGCTGCACAGGACAGAGAGCACATGTCAGCAGTTAGCATTCACAGAAATGAGCATTAACAAACATTCAGCATTTACCCCGGAGATGAAATACCTCATTTACATAATTTCCCATCTACAGCTTTCTGTATTCACAGTCCTACATCTTATGCATTTCCTTAACAACAAATTAATTTGAAAAAAACAAACATTTCTATTACCAGCCAAATGACATCACTACAGCTGTAAATGACCACCACCACCATTCTAAGTGAAAAATTCAAATATAATCTGAAAGCATAAATGTTCAAATCAAACCTCGAAACGGAGGAAAATAAGACAAACGCAAGTTCTAAACGGATAGTTCTACAGCGCAATTCCAACAAAGAATTTTCTACAGTTTGACGTTCAGATATTTTGGCCCAGGTGTTAACAGTAATTTTAGCTCTCACTGCTTCCTGAAGGTCGGTATTTTCTGGCAATGTTTTTGTAGAAAACTCTTTAGCAGAGTTAAATGACTTCCTCTTATTAGGATAGCTGTTTCTACGAAGAAAAAGGGTTTTGCTTTGGACTTCTGTTGACACCTCTTGCTGATAGGATAGAATATAAGCCTGCTTTGGCTGACAGCTTCTTTGGAAAATATTAATAATGAGTTGATAGACTCTTTTAACACATAATAAAAATCTAGTTTGTCTGTCTGTTGTGGTCTCTGCATGCAGAGAGCCCATTCCTATTCCTAACTGTTTAGTTAGAAATGTTGAGCAAATCAAAGAACGAAGGCTTATTTCCTGTTTGTGTCCACAACTAATTGGTTCAAAATAAAATTTTAGCAGAACACCGTCACCGTGATCCTTTCTAACTGAAATACCAAACAAACACTTACTTCTATACTCCCGGGCTGCCATGCCTAAAACCCCCTGAGGGGGAGCAGCCTTTTTTACCAGGATAGCATCTCTAGGCAAAATGCCTTGAGGTGAACCTGGGTCTAACTCCTGTACCTCATCCTTGACTAACACATAATTGCCACCAAGATTTTGCCCCCATAGTGTAGAGGCTTCCAGAGAGGCCTGTGACATGGTCGGACTAGGAAGCAACACAGTGGCTCTGAGTGAACCTGTACGGCTAAGAGGACTTTTAGGACTTTTTGGGCCCTCAGCATCCTGGATAACTAGCCTTGAAAGGGAGTTTTGGGTCCTTCCAACAACAAATCCCTGACTCTGTTGGTCGTTGATCACATAGAGGCCTGGAAAATTGTTTCCATGGGCTCCATCCTCCATCACAAACGTGTTCTGAACACTTGGTTGTACAATATAATGCATTGGTTGTAGCACAGGGCTAGTGGTGTAGTAAACTGGTGACTGCTGTAGGACAACTGTCTGAGCTGGATAGGATATGTTAGCAGAATGTTTGATGTTAGCGGTAGCGTGACGAGAGAGGGACATGGTTGCTGACTCTTTGGTTACCGTACTGACAGAGAAACCACTGACCTTTGCCGGTGGTAGTACTTTGTTGTTTTCTACACTAACATGCTTTGTCTGGATTTCATGATCAACTTTAGACTTAACAACAGGTTCAGGTGGCTTGTTGATAGCTTTGACAGTTTCTGATGCCTTTCTTGTCACCAAGGTTTCTGAATTGAATGTCGGCGGGGAACAGATGTCAGCAAGGATCCGGAAATTCATTCCCAGGTCAACCAGAAAGTCCAGGTCATTGTCAGACTCCAAGATGCTGCAGCTCTCTAATGAACCGGCAGCAGAGCCATTCCCCTCAAAGTCATATTCCAGCAGACCATCTTCCACAGGCACTGGGACGTTTGATTTCTGTTATGGGACAAGAAAGAAAACAAGTTTTGCAAAGAATTGAGATGATATTGGAGATAAAATTCGATCAGTTAAAGTTAAGAGGCCATCATCCTGTTACCTTTGAGAAGTGATCATGGAGGAAAACATCAGGGAGGGCAATTTCATCCAAAAGATGTCTTGTTGTTTGTTGAATGCTTGTAAAAGTGTTCATTTCATTGCTCCGATTATAAGGATCCCTTGAAAGCCTGTAAGTGTTGTCAGTTTCCATGACTGGAGAGGTCTGCTTGTACGTTTGTCCTGATCGGTTATATCTTTGGTTCTTGGTTTCTGTGAAGGCTGATGACACTGTGATCATAGTTGCTCCTGGTACTGCCTCAGTATTTTGCAGAGTCCCCATTTTCACAGGCATGAAATGAGTGGGAATATCCTGAAAACATTAAACAAATATATCTGTCAAATTCTATCTATCTATCTATCTATCTATCTATCTATCTATCTATCTATCTATCTATCTATCTATCTATCTATCTATCTATCTATCTATCTATCTATCTATCTATCTATCTATCTATCTATCTATCTATCATATGTCTGTCTGTCTGTCTACATATCTAGAAAAATGATCGCCACACACCTTATCCTCTCCTATACATTCAGTGTGGTACTTGATCAGATGCTCCTTTGTGTCAAACGGCAGATCAGTAAATTGGTCTGAGAAGATGGTGTTTGCTCCTCCGCACTGACAGAACAGCAGCAGCACAGGAACCACTGCAGAGAAAAGAAAATCACTGATTCTAAGCAGCTCCTTTATTAGACAGACATTTATAGAAGCTGAAGTAGCCAAAGACTTTTATTGTCGTTTTGTATACACAGAGTGGGCTCTCCTCATCTTCCGCAGGAAGTCCAAGCACTTCTGGGCCCTTTGGACCAGTGAGGTGGTGTTTCCAGTCCAGGTGAGGGTGTCTGTGATGTGCATCCCTAGGAATGAGCTGTTGATGAGCAGTGGAGCGTGGTTAGGCCGTTCTTCCTGAAGTCCACCATGATCTCCTTTGTCGACTTCAGGAAAAACCGGCCTAACGACACTCTAACGAGGCCATCAAAGGCAGCGTCTTCTCCAACCATCTTTGATTTAGATGTTCTGCTTTCTATTTGTCACACTCTTGTTTCTGTTATGTTTTCTTTTGAGTATTCAGTTTAACTTTGCTCCATATTTTCTAATTTTAGTGGTTTAATTCTTATTTTGTTATGTTTTCTGGTTATATTTCAGTTCTCAGGTTTTTATTTGTTGCCATCTAGTGTTGGTCTCCTTATTCCCTAGCTCCTTATACTGCTCTCTTCACACCTGCTCCCAATCTGCTCCTTAGTCCTCTCTTTGTTCAGTTAGCCATAAATACTCTCCTTGTGCAGTTCCTCAGTGCTGGTTCACCGTCTAACTCCGTCTAACTGTTTCGTACCTCGTTGGGACTGTTTTCCCCTGAAGTCTCCATGGTTCTGGTTTGTTTTTCTTTTTTCTTGTTGGATTTTTGGATTTTTTGGATTTCTGCCTCTGTTGTTTATGAACCACTCATTAAATCTACAAGAAGCTCACCTCTGCCTCCCTGCCTCTGCATTTGGGTCCTCAAACCACAACCAAATCTTTACACTTTTATGTCCTCAGGACAGGAACTAGCTCACTACTTAGAGGTTTAGGTTTGGCCTCTGAACCAAAGTCTACTGAATCTGCTGGAAGTAGTTGAGGATGTATTGATCATCCCCAAAAGCTGTTTGGCATGCATGTGTTTCATGTGTTTCCTCTGTTAGGAAGTCCCTGTAAGCCCCAGGGCAGCTGTGGCAATAATGTAGCTGTGTGTGAGAAAATGGGTGAATGTAGTTTAAAGTGCTTTGGTTACGCTAAATGATTACACACCATGTGTTATGAACTTATCTATTTTTGTTTTCACTATTATGATCATTTATATGCAAATTCTTGGGAGCTGCTATTTTCAAATTTTTTTAAAGCTTTTTTTTAACAATAACAGAAAAATAAATCCTCATTCTAATTCCTGAAAACCTTGATGGTTTTTTGTTTAATTTACTGTTTGTAGCTGAAATGCTCCTGACTCTTAGCGCAACGTTAGATGATGACAGCTGAGCTGGACCAGGCCGCTGTTAACCCAGAGATTTGAGCATTTTTCTCTTACTTTTACTAATTACTTGTTTGGCCTTCGGTGTGTCGCAAACTGTCTTAGTTCTATAGCGAAAAGATCTAGATTTTTTTCTATGGATGCTCTATTTTTCTGCTCAATGCTGTTGCATTGAAATGAACTTACACAGCAACAGGCACATGGCTGTGATGAGGGGGCCGATGGCGTGTGTTGAGAATTCAGAGGAGGAGCTTTTATCTTTTGCTGTCCTCGGTCCGCAGGATTCTTTGCCCTCACAGGTGCAGACCTCCAAAGTAAACACCTCATCCTCCGGACAGGACAGACCCTGAGCGTCCTTCACCTCTACTTGCAGCTGATATATGCCAGGCCACAGTGTATCCTGAGAGTGAAGAGCTGCTGTTGTCTCTGGAGACAAGATAATCAAAAACCAGTTTACTGTATCTCTGTATGAGTCTTCTTGCAAGTTAAGACACTTAAACATTGTATCTGACAGTAGATGATGGTTTCTAAATATGCACTGGACCAGGACATGTTAGAATTAGATTATGTTCTCATCTCAATGGCATCAGCTGGCTGATATTTCAGAAGTTAGATTTCTGTTCTACAATTATCAGCTAAAAGCAAAAGAAATATTCCTGTGAAGCACACTCTGATCTCAGCCTTTCATAAACTGGTTAATCCATTTAACATATTTAAACTTTCACATTTAAAACCACAGCATGGGCCTTTAGGTTTGAGCCTTTTTGGCTTTTTTAGGGGGGGCATAGGTTTCCTCTCACTGGATTTATGTCTTCTGTGTTCTTGACATGTTTTATTAGATTAATTTCCTTACTTACCATTGATGCTTTCCACATCCCATTGGCCTCGGGTGCCTTCTGGTATGATTCTGAAAGTGAATGGAGCAGCATTTGGATGGACATCTTCATCTAAGCCGGTCACATAGACCGTCTTTTTATCAGAGCACAGACTGCCGTAGGCGGTTGCCAAAGTGGGGCAGTGATCGTTGGAGTCGGTGACTTTAATGGCTATTGTTCCTGTGGCTGTCTTTGCTGGCATGTCTGTGGACAAGGACAGCATAATGTTACAGTGTGAAACTGTTTCCTGAGAATAAACTCTACCTTCACTATTTCTACATCATTGGCAACAAGTCGTTATGAAAATAGACAGATATGCTGAATGCTGATGGCTATGGAAGACCAAACCTGGCATATTCAATAAATACATTTTCCATGAGTATGGTTAATTAGATACTTTATTTAATTATTCAATTTTTTTTCTTTTTCATTTGCTCATTTATTTATTCATTTATTATTTAGACATGTATTTATTGTTTCGTCTATTTATTATAATGCAAATTACAAGGGGCGGAGTCTTCCACCTCTACCTTTTGGTTTGTTAGATATCAGAGACGGGAATCTGGAGTCAACAAGTCATCTCTATGTCATGTATTTGTTCTGCCCAGCCACTGAAGCAGGTGAGTAGAATCTGGTTTAACATGGGTAGTACATAGTATTGTATCACTCGCTTGGTTAGATATCGCTGCATCGTTCATCGGTTGGTCAGATAGCGCCGCATCTCTCATCGGTTGGTTAGATAGCGTTGCATCGCTCATCGATTGGTTAGATAGCGTTGCATCGCTCATCGGTTGGTTAGATAGCGCTGCATCGCTAATTGGTTGGTTAGATAGTGCTGCATCGCTCATTGGCTGGTTAGATAGTGCTGCACCGCTCATCGGTTGGTTAGATAGTGTTGCATCGCTCATCGGTTGGTTAGATAGTGTTGCATCGCTCATCGGTTGGTTAGATAGTGTTGCATCGCTCATCGGTTGGTTAGATAGCGCTGCATCGCTCATCGGTTGGTTAGATAGTGTTACATCGCTCATCGGTTGGTTAGATAGCGTTACATCGCTCATCGATTGGTTAGATAGTGTTGCATCGCTCATCGGTTGGTTAGATAGTGTTGCATCGCTCATCGGTTGGTTAGATAGTGTTGCATCGCTCATCGGTTGGTTAGATAGTGTTGCATCGCTCATTGGCTGGTTAGATAGCGTTGCATCGCTCATCGGTTGGTTAGATAGTGTTGCATCGCTCATCGGTTGGTTAGATAGCGCTGCATCGCTCATCGGTTGGTTAGATAGTGTTGCATCGCTCATCGGTTGGTTAGATAGCGCTGCATCGCTCATCGGTTGGTTAGATAGTGTTGCATCGCTCATCGGTTGGTTAGATAGCGTTACATCGCTCATCGATTGGTTAGATAGCGCTGCATCGCTCATCGGTTGGTTAGATAGTGTTGCATCGCTCATCGGTTGGTTAGATAGTGTTGCATCGCTCATCGGTTGGTTAGATAGTGTTGCATCGCTCATCGGTTGGTTAGATAGTGTTGCATCGCTCATTGGCTGGTTAGATAGTGTTGCATCGCTCATCGGTTGGTTAGATAGTGTTGCATCGCTCATCGGTTGGTTAGATAGTGTTGCATCGCTCATCGGTTGGTTAGATAGTCTTGCATCGCCCATCGGTTGGTTAGATAGCGCTGCATCGCTCATCGGTTGGTTAGATAGTGTTGCATCGCTCATCGGTTGGTTAGATAGCATTACATCGCTCATCGGTTGGTTAGATAGCGTTACATCGCTCATCGATTGGTTAGATAGTGTTGCATCGCTCATTGGTTGGTTAGATAGTGTTGCATCGCTCATCGGTTGGTTAGATAGTGTTGCATCGCTCATCGGTTGGTTAGATAGTGTTGCATCGCTCATCGGTTGGTTAGATAGTGTTGCATCGCTCATTGGCTGGTTAGATAGTGTTGCATCGCTCATCGGTTGGTTAGATAGTGTTGCATCGCTCATCGGTTGGTTAGATAGCGTTGCATCGCTCATCGGTTGGTTAGATAGTGTTGCATCGCTCATCGGTTGGTTAGATAGCGTTACATCGCTCATCGGTTGGTTAGATAGCGCTGCATCCCTCATCGGTTGGTTAGATAGCGCTGCATCGCTCATCGGTTGGTTAGATAGTGCTGCATCGCTCATCGGTTGGTTAGATAGTGCTGCATTGCTCATTGGCTGGTTAGATAGCGCTGCATCGCTCATTGGTTGGTTAGATAGCATTACATCGCTCATTGGTTGGTTGATAGCGTTACATCGGTCATCGGTTGGTTAGATAGTGTTGCATCGCTCATCGGTTGGTTAGATAGCGTTACATCGCTCATCGGTTGGTTAGATAGTGTTGCATCGCTCATCGGTTGGTTAGATAGCGTTACATCGCTCATCGGTTGGTTAGATAGTGTTGCATCGCTCATCGGTTGGTTAGATAGCGTTACATCGCTCATCGGTTAGTTAGATAGTGTTGCATCGCTCATTGGTTGGTTAGATAGTGTTGCATCGCTCATTGGTTGGTTAGATAGTGTTACATCGCTCATTGGTTGGTTAGATAGCGCTGCATCGCTCATCGGTTGGTTAGATAGCATTACATCGCTCATCGGTTGGATAGATAGTGTTGCATCGCTCATTGGTTGGATAGATAGTGTTGCATCGCTCATTGGTTGGTTAGATAGCGTTACATCGCTCATCGGTTGGTTAGATAGTGTTGCATCGCTCATTGGTTGGTTAGATAGTGTTGCATTGCTCATTGGTTGGTTAGATAGCGCTGCATCGCTCATCGGTTGGTTAGATAGCATTACATCGCTCATTGGTTGGTTAGATAGCGTTACATCGCTCATCGGTTGGTTAGATAGCATTACATCGCTCATCGGTTGGATAGATAGTGTTGCATCGCTCATTGGTTGGCTAGATAGTGTTGCATCGCTCATCGGTTGGTTAGATAGCGTTACATCGCTCATCGGTTGGTTAGATAGTGTTGCATCGCTCATTGGTTGGTTAGATAGTGTTGCATTGCTCATTGGTTGGTTAGATAGTGTTGCATCGCTCATTGGTTGGTTAGATAGTGTTGCATCGCTCATTGGTTGGTTAGATAGTGTTGCATCGCTCATTGGTTGGTTAGATAGTGTTGCATCGCTCATTGGTTGGTTAGATAGTGTTGCATCGCTCATTGGTTGGTTAGATAGTGTTGCATCGCTCGTCGGTTGGTTAGATAGTGTTGCATCGCTCATTGGTTGTTAGATAGCGCTGCATCGCTCATTGGTTGGTTAGATAGTGTTGCATCGCTCATCAGTTGGTTAGATAGTGTTGCATCGCTCATTGGTTGGTTAGATAGTGTTGCATCGCTCATTGGTTGGTTAGATAGTGTTGCATCGCTCATTGGTTGGTTAGATAGTGTTGCATCGCTCATTGGTTGGTTAGATAGTGTTGCATCGCTCGTCGGTTGGTTAGATAGTGTTGCATCGCTCATTGGTTGTTAGATAGCGCTGCATCGGTCATCGGTTGGTCAGACAGCGCTGCATAGCTCATCGGTTGTTCAGATAGCGCTGCATCGCATACATTTTTGTACGACGCAATAGTAGAGGGGTTGCAAGCAGGCAAGCTTCTGCTAAAACAAATGTGTGCTGGAGCTTACAGTCAGAAGCAGATGGACGGACATTGTCCTTAATAATTTAAAGTGGCTTAGTTTTTCCCATGCTCTTGATTTTCTTTAGCTTGAGGAATGAATCAGGCCTTTTTGCTTACTTCATGTTTTCAAAGAGGCTCTATAATTGTTATCTTGTGACTAGGGCTGAACGATTTAGCCAAAAAAAAATTTGCGAAGCAATGTTCCTTCACACTAAGCCTAACCATGTGTTTTTTCATGACCTTTAAAGCCTGCTTGTCCATAGCTGCAGGCCTTTATTTAACATTTGCATTAAAAGATTCTTACTTTTACTATAATGCATAGATCTAGGTGCTAGCTGCAACTCTCTTTTCCCTTCTTCCCCACCTAAACAGAGAAATGTATTGCCTTGTCTTGTTATTGTATTGTGACTAAAATTGAGTGTCTCTGCGATTGGGAAATTGCGATTTTTAAAATTGCAATTACATTGCAAATGCAATGCATTGACCAGCCCTGGGTGTGACTCTACAGGAAAGTAATCCTAGTCATTTAAAAATCAAACAAGGTGGCTCACATAATGCTCGTTTATCCATATAAATGATAATAAATAGAAACTTAGTACCTGAACTACAAAAGACTACAGTATAACAATAAAGAGATAATGAAGGAAATTTTTAAAGCAGCATATACCTTCTCAAAGAGCCGCATGGCAGCTAAATAATAAACAAAAAAGAAGGCTTGCTTCTTTGATAATATTCACCTTTTGATATTGCCAAAATCTTGGCAATATAGGTACCATTCACTAAGTAGGGTGACTCCCTGTCCGGAACTTTGAGGAGTTTGATCTCAGCTGTCTCTTCATCAACACTAAACCAGTTGTCTGGATCATAAGCTTTGGCATAGCTGTAATAAAATAGACAACAAAGAAGAAAGTTAATAGTTTTCATAAATGTATTTCTGTCATGATCTGGCTTGTTTGCTGTCCCTCAATTGGTAATTTCTTTCACCTGCCGTTTCCCCTCCCTGCCTCAACTATAATTTATTCCTCTCACCTGTTTCCTCTGGGTTATATTCAGTTCAGCCTGAGCATTCAGGGCCAGGTCATTATTTGTTTTCTGTGAGTGTGTCTGTTCAGTTTTATTTCATGGTTCATGTCCTGGATCCTGGCGGCCAGTGGAAAGAGGTTTTTGTGTTTGTCTCATCTCCTGTTCCTCCCCCGCGGAGTCCTCTGGGTTTTTGGCTCTATATGTGGGGAGGTTCAGCTTTTATTTCAGTAAGCCTGGCTCCGGGGAGGAGACCAGTTTAAAGTCCTGCATCAAGTTCTGGTTCAACGTCCTGTCTCGGCTACCCTCTTCCACTGAGCCTGCTCATCTGCACCTGATCCTGTGCGTTACCACCTGGTCATGCTTCCGATCCCAGTCAGACTTTGAACCCGTCTGGGAGCTGTGTTTTTGCCTGGAAGCCTGGATCCTGCCACCTAATCTGTTCCTGCCTAATCGGCAACCTGTTCTGTCTGTTCCTGCCTGATCAGAATCCCTGATCAGGTTGGGCTTTCTGCAACTCCTCCGGAGCTGCAGCACCGGGGACACTCTGGGTGACGCGAGCTGTGTCAACTGTCAGCCCATCGGCTGGATTGCACCCCTCTCAAGGGGTATGGACTGAACTGCTAAACCAGGTAAGTGACTCACTGAGAACATCATCTTCAGCCAGATGATCATGGTCACTTACCTGTGTTTCTCCCACAGAGAGTCAGAGATTGGGCGGTGCCCCGCTCCCCATCCTGCTGTGTCCGCGAGCCACAGCTCGACTTTAGTTTTTGTTTTATTTACTAAACTTTTTTGAACTTTCCAACTGACTGTCTCTCCTTGAATACTGGGTCCATCTGTCCTCGGTTCATTACAATTTCCTTATATGCACGTTTTAGTGTAAAAATTAAGCTCATGTTTGCCCTTTGTTTATTGGGTGGTATACATACACATATACTGTTAGTGCAATAGATGTTTCATGTTAGCAGGAGTTAAGAAAGCTACTGATATGTTAGAAATGTTCACTGGAATCCCTAGAAGGGACCTTTGAAGTAAACAAAATAGTTGGATCCAAAACTAAAAGCAATCAGACTGGGATCTAAATGTCGAGGAAAACAGAAATGTTTTTTAAAAGCACTTTTGTATATAACACATCGCATATCATATTCAGGGAAGTGCTTGGCGTGAATCCTGCATGTCAGCAGGCTTTATGTTGCAGATAAATTCACTAACCTGACATTTTCCGCTGGTTTTCCTGTATCCGGATCAGAAGCCGGGAATGCAGTGATCACACCATCCACTGGAATCTCATTTGGATCCTCAGATACAGGGACTTCCTTGGTGTCTGGTATAAATGCAGCACCCTCTGGAACATTTTTTACAGCTATTTTTATAGGGTAGCTTTTTCCTGGTTTCTTGGGTTTGGTTCCTGGTCCTGGCTTCCCACCAGGTCCCCCACCCACTGGTCCAGGACCAGGTTTAAGTCCAGCTCCTGTACCAGCTCCTACATTCGGTTTGAGGCCTACACCACCTTCAGCATCCACATCCAAATCTACTCCAGCCTCGGCTCCAGCCTCGGCTCCAGCCCCGGCTCCAGCCCCGGCTCCAGCCCCAGCTCCAGCTCCTGCTCCAGCCCCGGCTCCAGCCCCGGCTCCAGCTCCAGCTCCCGCAGCCAGAGGAGCACCCTCTCCAACTTTGACATCCACTTCTGCCTTTACAGAACCACCGTCTATGAAAGGAGCTACATTTTTAAGAGCAATGCCAAGCTCAAGGTTCTGGACGGTTTCAAAATCCACTGGCTAATCGGTGCAGATGTAGGAGAGCATGTTTGGGAATAAATCAGCAAACTTAATAAACCTAACCTGCTACATAAAGGTAATGAAAATAAAGACATATTGAAAGTCAGATAAACTACCTTGATGAGCGTCAGGATGCCCTCGTTGGTGTCGTTGTCAGTCCTAATGGAAAACAGGTTGTCTTCATTTCCTTGGACTATTTCAAACACAGTCAGCCAGTTGTCTGACTTTTCTTCATCTTTGTCCAAAGCTTTGATTCTCATCACTTCTACATCACAAACATTTTCATCCACTGAGCCGGAGTACTGCAGGACAACCAGAACTTTGTCAGGAAGAAGTTGTGGCATTGACTCAAATCTGCTTCATTCATTAGTGCTAATTTAAAACAAACAGGGTTAACTTTACCTAGATGCAGGGAATAAGATTATGCTAATACGACAAAAGCTGCTGAGAAAGTGACTGAGTACTCTCTGTGAAAGCTGTTTTTCAGTGGTCGTGGCTGGGCCATCAATCAATCGGAGGCTGAGACCAGCTAGTTTAATCCCTGTGAAACCAATCCTTAGTAAAAGCAGAGGTGGATAATCCACGTCCAGAGATTAGTTCCAATGCTTTGCAGACTGGTGGTTAATCTTCTGGGCCGTTTCTCAATAGGTTTACTTGTGCATTCTCATGTGCTTGTGAAAGGTCAGCCTCAGCACTGTTCCAATTCACAAGAACACAAAACCGAGAATGGACAAGTCCCTGGATGTTGCTCTGGCCCCTCCCACTTTACCCAGCATGCATCAGAACAGACTGGTCCATTCCCCAGACTGACAGCTGTCCCAGCATGCACTGTTTTTCAATAAAAAAAAGTTTTCAGATCATTTGAGGTGAGATTATTATACTTTAAGCTTTAAACTGATTTAGTAATTTAATAAAAGTTCCGATGTTGAGAGGACCGTGGCAAACAGGATAACCGCACCAGGGCTAACTTCAGCCCCTGCCGCTGCGGACTGGGCTAAAGTTAGTCCGTCTGCAGCGGCCGGTGCTAAAGTTAGCCCGTCTGCAGCGGCCGGTGCTAACGTTAGCCCGTCTGCAGCGGCCGGTGCTAACGTTAGCCCGTCTGCAGCAGCCCTCTCTCTGCATAGCCCTGTCTGAAGTACCTCTGGCTCTGATGGAGGTTTGATTGTTTTATTTGGGAAAACTGTTATTTGATTTGTGTTTATCTGACTGTGTTCATTATAATTCCTCCACTAAATGGAAAAAGTCATAATTTATTATTATTCAGAGACTATTAATAACAGGAGGTGAAATGCAGCTCCAGACTAGCTTTTAATGTGGTGATGTCATCAGTAGTCATCAGAGTCCAGACTTTCCTGGGTTCTAGTCAAGAACTTTGCAATAACGCAAGTCTGGAGTTCGGGTGAATTGAGAAACGGCCCTGGCTAGGTGAACTTGTGTGTGTTCCTGCTGTTGTAGGCAAAGCATAAGTTAATAATTAATAATAATAATTGAACTTTATTAACCTCACATATGAGAAATTCCCTCTCTGCATTTAACACCTCCCCTTGGGGAGCAGTGGGCTGCCATTGTGCGGCACCCGGGGAGCAGTGTGGGGTTAAGGGTCTTGCTCAGGGACCCAGAGTGAAGGCTGTGGGGGATCGAACCGGGTACTTGCAACCTTGTCAGAGCACAAGCACACTGCCCTAACCAATAGCCCAACACTCTCCCCAAGTTAGAAGTTAAAGGCATAAATATCAGTCCTACTCCATAGCCCTACCCCGACTACCACGACAGAGGCGTCTCAGTGGTTACAAAGGCTGGTGGTTCCAAACCCAGACTGTGACCCTGTGTATCTAGGTAGGTTTCCTAGTAAAGGACTGTAAGACTCATTTACTTGAACTCGTCCCATAGTCCCTTCCTTCAGCAATGTTTTATTTTCGGTCTCTCAGCTCCTCTGCTTTTTATCTCCTTCCCCCTCATTAACCAGCACCAGACTGAAAAAACAGAGAAGTCCTTATTGACCAACAGGAGCACAATGATATCCTGTCTTGCTGCGAATTCTTGACACATCGTTATGGAAGAACCAGGCTTGGACAACACTTAAACAACTGGCCAGGAATTAGATGGCCATTGTTGATTAGGAAATCAGATGTTTTTTTGGAAATCCTCCCCTTTAACGATAATAAATATTTTTGGTCACATTAAAATGTGCATTACAGGGAACCTTGACCTCTGCATTTCTCCCACTATGGGCAGCTTAAAGCACCTGTGGAGTGAAGGGTCTGGCTCAGGGACCCAGAGTGGCAGCTCTGGAGTTTATCCTTGGTACTTGAGGCCTTCTAAATTTGCAGACACTCTGCTGTAACCACCAGACCACCATTTTATTTCGGGTGCAGAAATCTGTATGGTGATCTGTTGCCAAATGGATTGTTTGAGAATGTTCTACTCTCCTTCTCCTGCTGCTACTGTGTTGCTGGTGTGTTTTCTTCAGGTTCAGCCGCAGCTGATTGGACTTTCCAGGAATTCTACAGCTAAGCTTCTCAAAATGTATGAATGTATGAAAAACTGACTTTTTTGTTGTTTTTACCATCACAAGAAACAGACTTCTTGGTACTCGCAGAGTGCAACAAGTTTTAGTCTTGTGAGGACATTCTACCTGTATGTGTCCAGTTCAGAAGCCCACTGAACAAAAACTGAAAAAATCCATGCAACATAATGCTCTTCACTCATAGAAACTCTAGTTTTAATATGGCTAGTGTTGCTGATTTCATACTAAAACATACACAGAATTTTTTTTGTTACACAAAGTCAATCTTTTATCCTTGTTGGTCAGGTTTAGCTTGAGCGTCTTTACCTCAGATTTTTCTAGAGTAGGCTGGTTGTCATTGATATCCAGGACCTGGATGCTCACAGTTCCTGTCCCTGTTCTCCCACCTGGTTTACCTGCCAAATCACGCCCTTTAACAATAAGTGTGTAGTTGGCTTGAGTCTGCAATGCAAAACAGAAACCTGAATACATGACCAGAAAGAAAAGGGTGAAAATATCAGAGAAGTTCAAAAGCTGGTACATTTTATGGGAAGAAAACTTGCTGTTAGAAAAAAAACATATTTAGTGCTTTCTAACATCCGCTTCTTGGATAACAAAATGAATCATCTCTGACTCAAACTCTCTTAAAAAAAGGAGATTAGTAACTGCTGCACCATCATTCTAATGGAGCCTTGGCTTCATTCATCGATACCGGACAATGTTGTTAGCCTGGAGGGCCTCAGGCTACACCATGCCAATAGAAACAGAGAATTAAACAGTAGGACTAGAGGTGGTGGGCTCTGTGTTTACATCATTAACAGCTGGTGTAAAAATGCTAGACCAGTCGCCAGTTTCTGCTCTCCAGACATGGAGTTTCTGACTTTTAACTGCAGGCCGTTCTACAGTGGGGAGAACAAGTATGTGATACACTGTTGATTTTTCAGGTTTTCCCCCTTGCAAAGCTTGTAGAAGACTGTAATTTTTATCATAGGTACTCTTTAACTGTGAGTGATGGAATCTAAAACCAAAATCCAGAAAAATACAATGTATGATTTTTAAATATTTAATTTCCATTTTATTGTGTGAAATAAGTATTTGATCATCTATCAACCAGTAAGAATTGTGGCTCTCACAGACATGTTAGTTCTTCTTTAAGGAGCCCTCCTTTTCTCCAATCATTACCTGTATTAACTGCACCTGTTTGAACTCGTTACCTGTGTAAAAGACACCTGTCCACACACTCAATCAATCACACTCCAGCATCTCCACAATGCCCAAGACCAGAGAGCTGTGTAAGGACATCAGGGATAAAATTGTAGACCTGCACAAGGCTGGGATGGGCTACAGGACAATAGGCAAGCAGCTTGGTGAGAAGGCAACAACAGTTGGTGCAATTATTAGAAAATGAAAGAAATACAAAATAACGGAAAATCTCCCTCGGTCTGGGGTGCCATGCAAGATCTCACCTGGTGGAGCATCATTGATCTTGAGGAAGGTGAGGAATGAGCCCAGAACTACTTGGCAGGACCTGGTCGATGACCTGAATAGAGCTGGGACCACAGTCTCAAAGAAAACAATCAGTAACACTCTACGCCGTCAAGGATTAAAATCCTGCAGTGCACGCAAAGCGCCCTTCCTCAAGACAACGCATTTTAAAGCCCCTCTGATGTTTGCAAATGACCATCTGAATGATCCAGAGGAGGAATGGGAGAAGGTCATGTGGTCTGATGAGACAAAAATAGAACTTTTTGGTTTAAACTCCACTCGTCATGTTTGGAGGAAGAAGAATGATGGGTACAACCCCAAGAACACCATCCCAACCGTGAAGCATGGCGGTGGAAACATCATTCTTTGGGGATGCTTTTCTGCAAAGGGGACAGGACGACTGCACCATATATTGTGGGAAGGATGGATGGGGCCATGTATCGTGAGATTTTGGCCAACAACCTCCTTCCCTCAGTAAGAGCACTTAAGATGGGTGGTGGCTGGGTTTGCCAGCATGATAACGACCCAAAACACACATCAGGGCAACTAAAGAGTGGCTCCGTAGGAAACATCTTAAGGTCCTGGAGTGGCCTAGCCAGTCTCCAGACCTGAATCCAATAGAAAATCTTTGGAGGGAGCTTAAAGTCCGTGTGGCCCAGTGACAGCCCCGAAACCTGAAGGCTCTGGAGGAGATCTGTATGGAGGAGTGGGCCAAAATCCCTGCTGCAGTGTGTGCAAACCTGGTCAAGAACTACAGGAAACGTCTGATCTCTGTAATTGCAAACAAAGATTTTTGTACCAAATATTAAGTTTCATTGTTCTGGTGTATCAAATACTTATTTCACACAATAAAATGGAAATTAATTATTTAAAAATCATACATTGTATTTTTCTGGATTTTTGTTTTAGATTCCCTCACTCACAGTTGAAGAGTACCTATGATAAAAATTAGTCTTCTACAAGCTGTGCAAGTGGGAAAACCTGAAAAATCAACAGTGTATGAAATACTTGTTCTCCCCACTGTATCTGCCCAGAGAGTTCAGTGTGGTTAGCATCTCTGCTGTTTATGTGCCCCCTAGCGCTAACACTAAAGAGGCCATGAAGGCTCTATACCAGGCTATCTCTGAGCTCCAACCTGCACACAGAGGCAGTTTTCATCATTGCTGGGGATTTTAACCAGGCTAACTTGAAGACTGTTCTCCCTCATTTCTACCAACATGTGGACTTTGCAACTCGGGGTGAAAACACTTTAGAGCTGGTTTGCTCTAACATCAAAGATGCATTCAGAGCAGCCCCACCCCCACCTCGGGTCATCAGATCACCTCTCTGTCATGCTCGTCCCTGCATATTAGCCCCAGCTGATCAGGGCTAAACCCACAGTTAAAGAGGTCAGTGTGTGGTCTGAGGGCGCCATGGAGACACTCCAAGACTGTTTTGAATGCTCTGACTGGAACATCTTCAAGGCTGCAGCAACATGTTACAACTTATTAAATATTGAAGAGTATGCCATGACTGTGTCGGCCTACATCAACAAATGCATTGAGGACGTCAGCATGAAAAAGAACATCACCACCCGGGCCAACCAATCACCCTGGATAAATGGAGAGGTTTGGAAATCGCTAAAAGCACCAAACTCAGCTTTCAGGTCTGGTGATAAAGAGGCACTGAGAACAGCGCATGGCTACTTAAACCATCAGATCAGCGAAGCAGAACCACAGTCAGAAGATCCAGGATCTTTTCCACGATGACAGCAACACCAGGAGGATGTGGAAAGGCATTCAGATGATCACAGACTACAACACACCCTCCCCCCCCGGTAGAAGCAGCAAACACTGACTTCCTAAATGAACTGAACAACTTCTTTGGAAGGTTTGAGGCACTAAACAGCCTCCAGCAGTGAAAGCTGTTCCACACCAGGGGGAGGAGGAACTAAACCTGGACGTAGCTGAAGGGAGGAAAACTCTGAGGAGAGTCAACCCAAGGACGGCCCCAGGGCCTGATAACACACCTGGGCAGGTGTATAAGGAGTGTTCAGATCAGCTGGCTGGTGTCCTCACAGACATCTTTAACACCTGGCTGGACCAATCCATAGTACCAGCATGCTTCCAGTCTGCCTCCGTTATTCCAGTCCCAAAGAAGCCTCAGGTCGCTTCCCTCAATGATTAGCGGCCTGTCGCTCTGACTCCCATCATGATGAAGTGCTTCCAAAGGCTGGTTAAAGAACACATCGTCTCCAGTCTGCCGCCAACATTCCACCCGTTCCAGTTCGCCTACCGGCGGAACCGCTCCACTGAGGACGCCATCTCTGCTGCTCTCCACCTGAGCCTGGCACACCTGGAGGAGAAGAACACCCACGATGGATGCTGTTCCTGGACTTCAGTTCAGCTTTCAGCACCATCATCCCACAGCATCTGATGGGCAAACTGGAACAGCTGGGCTTCATACACCCCTCTGCTACTGGCTGCTAGACTTCCTCACCAACAGACCTCAGTCAGTCCGGGTCTGACAGAACGCCTCTGATGTCATCAGTCTAAGCCCCTCCCCTCAGGGCTGCGTCCTGAGCCCCCTGCCGTTCACCCTGATGACACACGACTGCGTCCCCAGGTTCACCACCGATCACATGGTGAAGTTTGCAGACGACACCACGGTGGTGGGCCTCATCAGAGACGACAACGACCTGGACTACAGAGAGGAGGTGGAGCAGCTGGTGGAGCAGAGATAACAGCCTGATCCTGAAGGTGGAGAAGACCAAGGAGATCATGGTGGACTTCAGGAAGAAGCGGCCTAACCACGCTCCACTGCTCATCAACAGCTCAGCTGTAGAGGTGGTCATTCATCACAGACACCCTCACCTGGACTGGAAACACCACCTCACTGGTCCAAAGGGCCCAGAAGCGCTTGGACTTCCTGCCCCCCCCCCATCCTCCCCACCTTCTCCAGAAGCACCATAGAGAGCGTTCTGAGCAGCTGTCTCACTGTGTGGTGTGGAGGCTGCAGCGCCTCAGACTGGAAGAAGGTGAGAACAGCAGAGAGGATCATGGGGGCTCCTCTTCCCTCCATTAAAGACATTTCATCCCAGCGCTGCGTGTCCCGTGACATCATCAATGACCCCTCACCCCCCCACCATGGACTGTGCTCCCTGCTACCTTCTGGGAAGAGGCTTCCCAGCATTCAATGCAGGACCAGCAGGTTCTGCAGCAGCTTCTTCCCCACCGCCATCACACTGATGAACTGCTGGATAAACTCTAAATCATGTCCCTGACTGCATCACACTGACCATATCAATGCGTTGTATACTATGTTCTTTCTCCCGATATTTATATTTGATCACTGCTGCACTTTAAGAAAATGAAAATGTCATGAGAGCTGTATTAAACGAAATTTCGCTTTGCATGCACTCTGTGTATACAAAATGACAATAAATGTTGTCTAAGTCTAAGTCTTATTAATGGAAATGTGCAAAACAAATACCAGTCAGGACTTGTAATAAAAAAAAAAAAAAAACCTTTAAAAATACCAAGAATTACGGTTATTGGCCTTTCACAAACACTTTGAATAAAAACATAGAGTAAAGCAAATGTTAAGTATGTTTTACTAGGTAAGAAGTAAGCACCTTACCTCTCTGTCCAATTTGTTCTCTTTAACAAACACTTTTCCGGTGTATCTCTCTATAGCGAACATATGACCGTCACCAGGTGGATTTTGACTGACAATACTGTAGGAGATGTTTGAATTTTCTGTTCCTGGCTGATCATTATCCGTAGCTTCAATTTGCATAACAAGTGTTCCTGCAGAGTCACAGACACACAACACAGTAAATCCCATCGAATGAACCAACACTGCAAAAAAAATCTGATGAATAATGACTGGATGGATGGATGGATGGATGGATGGATGGATGGATGGATGGATGGATGGATGCATGGATGCATGGATGGATGGATGATGGATGGATGGATGGATGGATGGATGGATGGATGGATGGATGGATGGATGGATGCATGGATGCATGGATGGATGGATGGATGGATGGATGATGGATGGATGGATGATGGATGGATGGATGAATGGATGGATGAATGAATGATGGATGGATGGAAGGATGGATGATGGATGGATGAATGAATGATGGATGGATGGAAGGATGGATGATGGATGGATGTATGGATGGAAGGTTGGATGATGGATGGATGGATGATGGATGGTGGATGGATGGATGGATGGATGCATGGATGGATGGATGGATGGATGATGGATGGATGGATGGATGATGGATGGATGGATCGATGGATGGATGGATGGATGGATGGATGCATGGATGGATGGATGATGGATGGATGATGATGGATGGATGGATTGGGATGATGGATGGATGGATTGATGGATGGATGGAAGATTGGATGGATAGATGATGGATGGATGATGGATGGATGGATTGATTGATGGATGGAAGATTGGATGGATAGATGATGGATGGATGGGATGGATGGATGATGATGATGGTGGATGGATGGATGGATGGATGGTGGGTTGATGGGTGGATGGATGATGATGGATGGATGATGGATGGATGATGGATGGGTGATGGTGGATGGATGGATGATGATGATGGATGATGTGTATGGATGGATGGTGGATGGATGGGGTGATGGATGATGGATGATTGAAAGGTGGGGATGGAGGAAATTGGATGAATTTAAAGATGGATGGGTGGAATGGGAAGATGGTTGATGGAGGTGATGATGGATGGAAAATTATGGATGGGTTGGATGATGGATGGATGGGATGGATGGATGGGGTGGATGGATGGATGGGGGTGGA